CTACGTGCTTTGCTGATGTTTGTACCTTCTTCATCAATTATATAAATTACATTTACGTATTTTTACATATATAATTATAATAATATATTGTGCTTAATGCATATAATACAAAAATATTTCATTTATAATTATATTATGATAATTAGTTTTTTATATTTTGTAAAAAACAGAGTGACACAGTTAAATTGAGAGAAAAGGTAAGAGTTTTCTCTAAAAGTTGTAAGTTTATTATTTCAATTTTACTCAAATTTGGTATCTCCACGTTCGCTTTTTTAAAAGAACGCGAGAATTTCGACGCGCACCGCCGTTTATAAAATCCTCGCCGCGGATTCTAAAATTATCCAAATCTCTCGCCGCGTTAGGCAACCTCGCATGGAAAGTCTCGTTCGAGTCTCTCACAAAACACATCCGGAAACTTTCCCTTTCTCCGGAGCTCTCTAGAACCTCGATCTTTACCTTCTTACGCGCACGGCTGGCGTTTTTTGTATTTTTTTCTTTACTCGCGGAATGACACGCGCGAGACTTAATACGTCCAAATTCGGAAAGAGAGAAAGAAAAAAAGGGAGGAAGAAGAAGCCGCGAAATTTTCCCGAGAAAATCGCGTCGCGCGCGTGCGAGAGTCCGAACCTGTATTGTCGTCGAACACCTCGTGTTTGCCGCGATGTCGAACTGGCCGGGGTGTTCTGGTTTCGCAGAGATTTCCCCCCCGGATCGGGGGTGGTGAGGTGGGGGGATTTCCCGGCGGCGATGATTTGAGCGGGAAGCATGCGCGCGCGGACACTGCGCAACTCGAGTTCCCTTCCGCTTTGCGACCGGCTACGAGAATGGAGCCGTCGCTCTTTCAAGTGATAGAACGAATGAATAAAGATGGACTCTTGGATATGTGCTTTACGCGCGTACCGTCCATCCGGTATAGTTGCAGAGTTGTAATTACCACTATCGAGAGGACCCGAGTTTAGAAAAAAATAAAAAAAAAATAAAGGGGATGATGTTCCCGAGAGATGCTGCAAACACATGTTTTATACAGGATATCCCTGATAATTTTATAACAAATTCGGTTGGATGTACTTACTAGTGCGCACTTGGTGCATATAAAGATTTATCACACGCAAGTTCACAATGGCACAAGTAATTAGAAAGGAAAATAATTAATACTAAGAGCTCTTATTATCATTATTCATATTCAACCACAATAATAATAGCTCTTAGTATTAATTATTCTAATTATTTTATTTTTAATAACTTATTTCATTGTGAAATGATATGCAATAACCTTTATGTGCACTCAGTGCACAATAGTGCATCCAACCGGATTCGTTATTAGATTCTCTTTGAGTATTCGTCTCTCGTTATCAGGTGAGTATTATTTAGATGTTATTCGATATAAAATCGCTGCGATTATTAATTCCAAATAAGACAGAGAATTTCAAAGTTATAAAATATTTCAACGCAATGTATGGCTGTAATCTCTTTTTGCTAGCGATCCTTGAATATGTGCGATATTCCAATGTCTCTTCATTTGTTTACGCTGGATTTGCAGTTGTAATTAACACAACAGGTACCGCAATGCATAATCGACAAATTATTTTAATTATGACTGCACAATCTGCATACTGAGCAAAACATCGCCGTATGTTCAATGAATTTTAATTCACGATATATGAAAATTATAATAAAAAAATATATATGCTCGATAGAAAAGCAAATATTTTGGTCGAGCAATGTCTCATCAAATTTAATGTTACTGTTAACTTTCAAGATAATGAAGTAAAGATTGATCAATTCGATCATCGACTTTTTGGATGCAAAGGAAATTTTAAAGATAATTAATCTTACAAATCACATACGTATATATTTAACAAATAAATAGATGCTATTGTGAAAGATATTATAAGAGATTCCGAGTGTGCTAATGATGCTAGTGTTGAACGTCATTGCTTTGATCACTTTGCAACAATATTTCACGCCACGTTGTTTCGAATGCTCAAAATTTCGAGTCACTAATAATACAAATTTAAATAATAAAACGTTCTTTACACTTTATCAGGGAGAAAAAAATACTTCCTTTATCGTTTTGCGCAATACGTCACTCACGAGAGATCGGACGCGTGATATTGTATGTCGAACATCGCGCAAGTCACCGTAAAGTGTTTTTCTCTGTCGCAAAAAAGAAAAAAAATTACGGATGTGTTGTTCGTTCGTACCTCTCCGACGTTAAGAGGCACTATTAATGATCTCGAAATCGCCAAGATTCACCTAAGTGTATTTAATCTTTCTAACTCAGATAAAAAGGCACACTTATCGGGTAACATCGTGTAAATACGATTAGAGTTATCAACATCTTTCAACTATCATTAAAGAGATATTATATATATCGCATTTTTTTAATACTTAAATCGTATTTTTTTTAGAGGCTCCGAATTTTAAAGAGAAATTATTATTTCTTCGTTACAACGCGGATAAATAAATTTGCATGCTCTTACGAGTATAAAGCATATTAAAAGTTATAATCCTTTTGCTTTTATATTTTCTGTACATCGTGTCTTAAAGTATAAATGAATGCGCAAACAATTTACATATGCTAAAACACTCTTTGCACCTTTCAAAAATTACATATTCTATCTTTCTCTTTCTCATCAAAGCAAGGATTATGTAAAAGATTGCAAAAATAGACCCGTCTATGCACAGACTGAAAAAATACGGTTATATTATCTAAGTCTTTTAATATTTTATGCGCCAATAAATATTGATTTTTTTAATGAAATTTGCATTTGATAGATATATCACACACGTACATACCCTTCTTTATGTGTATAAATGTTTTTCTTTTCTTCGCGTGAAGCTATCAAGAATTATGTAACCAGAGACCCTCGAAAACAGCTGTCTGCTTGTAGAACGATCACTCAATTTCCGCAATTGGACGAATAAATAACGTGTCGAATAAAATTATATAAAAAAAGATAGAAACGCGCGCGCGTTCGATAAAAAAGTAAATCGTACATATTTCTGATTCTACTTCTGAATTCATTAATTCAAAGATGACATTTTAATATGCCATAATAATACATTTTAAGATGTAGTATTTTTATATATTTAATTGAAAAGAATTCTTGAATAAAGGAGCAACGAATAACGGGATTGCAGTCGAGAATTATTCGCAACAAGTAAACAATTCTATTGAATTCGTAGTGTCGCGTAAAACAGCGTAGAAAGCTAACGAATGCCATAATTAAGCGCATTCAGTCTGCCTAGTTTATATCGTCGGATAGGTCACGGGTCGCACTGAATCGCACACATGCAACACAATGTGATCAATTGTACGTTTTTCTTTTTTTTTTTTGTGTTTTTCTACAAATGTAGAAATCTTGCAAGCAGTATCATTTCACCAAACAATGAAGCAAATAATACGATTGTAACAGATCTATTGTGACAAATTTCTGACGATTATCGAATGAGATCGTACTTGAAGAATTAATTCCATCGCTTATAGATGAGCCATTCAGCTATTTTCATTCAATCTGAGAAATTTAAATTGGACGTCCTCCAGATACATGGTTTGAAACATATATGACTTTGATAGATCGCTCGCGTTCCTCTGGCAACCTTCCGACTGATTTATGCTAATAATTAAATGAATTTTATATTCCTATACTTCATTCGATTATCTCGAATATGTTATACGCGCCGTGAATGACAAAATTTCCGCGAGGGAAAAAAGTATGTTGGTATATATGTCCGGAGAAGAGACAAAGTTTATAACACACACACACACATATATATATACTGTTATACGAGGCGTAACCCTCTTACAAGAGCAATGTTCCATTGTATTCTCGTGTGCAGCGAGACTAGCGGTGTTTCCTGTGCGATCGTAAACGAAGCTGGTAGTTAAAGTTGTTACATACCACTCGCGTGTGTACAAGCACATGCCCACGAAGTGTCGTTAACGGTGATCGAGTCGTGACGCCAGAAATAATCGCCGCGCTCATCGGAAAATCTAATTTCAAGCCTGTCAGACACAATTTCCGCGGGCCGCGTTTAGCAATCTTCCGTTCGCAACAAATAAAGACTTAAATAATTAAATTCTTAATTTACCTTTTACTATTTTAATATTTTCACTCCGGCAAAGTTATTATCAAGTTACCGTTTCTGCTTTATATAACAATCGATCCGGAAGAGAATAGAAACGGAAAATAATAGATCGGAAAAATGTGCTTTATTCCTATTTGTATTGATTCGCCGAAATATATTTTTCAAAATATATTCCGATGAAGAGAAATTTTTCATAATTTCATTATATATCTCGGTTTATGTGCGAAAAGATATTTTTACACTATCAAGTGTAAAACTTTTAGTGTAATATAAAATGTGTACAAGTGTTTCTGGAAAACGATAGGCGTTTATGTGTCATGACATGCAAGTGAATTGCATCCTATGCTATCAATCGGCGTGCGTTAACGCCACTTTAGATAAAAATATTTGCACAGTCTGCAGTCCCTCTCGTGTGCACTCGCGTTGCACTCATTCCAACATAAAATGAGATCCGCATGCGAAACTGTGTTGTCACAATGAAGAATAATAACTGATATATATATAGTACAGTAATCGCAAAAAATATATATATGTATATATAATTGCATAAAACATTATCAGTTCGTATCTTGCAACGTTAAGAAATAATTTCTCATTATTGTATAACTGCATAAAAAAATGCTTTTCCATTAGATCGGCAATTTATCATTCGCTAGTATCATTATATGATGTCGTGCAAGAAGCTTCCGCAATTTTAATTCTCCCAAATCATATCTTTCCGCCGAGATGAGCATAGATAAAAATCGTTGAAATCTATTTTTGTAAAATAGAAGATATGATGCAATTATATTGTGATAAATTTAACGTTAATCACGATAGTGCACGAAACACGCATTCATCCAATCATACAGTTTGTAACGACATCGCGAACGAATACGCTTAAATTACGTGATGTGATGCAAACTTACCTGTACTGATCGGTAAATATCCTGAAAATAAGAATTCATATTTATTCGACAACGTTCAACTATGTTCAGCATGCGGTTAGTATACTTATGCTTAACTCACAAAATATACGAAAGGTTATCATAATCGCGCTCGCAAACGTTACATCGTATTATCGTCAAGTTCGTTTCACCGCGTATGAAATAAAAAATTTCCAGGCAAAAAATTGATAGACAAGCGCATCGTCTAATTTTGCATATAATTTGGCGACATATTCAAAACTTTCAAAATAAAAAAATCGGCAGCGAAACAATATTACTGCACGCAACAAATAATCTTCATTAATCATATCTTTGCGATTCAAAAATGATGCACAAAACTCCATGTTAGATTTTTCCCATTTTTGGCCATCTAAATCTACGCTATAAATATTAGCAATGTAGCTATATTATAAAGTATGTTATATCATAAGCAACGTTGCTGTTAAATATACAATATATAAGCGCAAGATTTATATTATCTTATGCTCTAAAGCTGTGTGTGTTCGCTGCAATGTGTATATGTATGTGTGTGCATGTGTGTGTGTGTGTGTTCGCTGCAGTGTACGTGTGATAGATGCGAACTTGTATGGAGTTTACTCGGTCCCGTAATTAATGGATGATCAAGAAATAATCGAGGAAATATTGACGGATAATATAATTGAGAAATAATAAAGAACCACTATATAGTTTTGATATAGTTGTAAGCGTGGATTATATTGTCATAATTTTGCCATTTTTTTCTAATCTGATAATGAACTTTAATAGAGAGCAATCAATAAAAAATATCAAATTAAATTAATAAAACGATAATCGCGCATCAAGTTAAATTTTTTAAATTCACCCTTTTAATTCTCTTTCTTTTGACAGACAATTATAGCTGCGATTTTAGTGATAGTGTGGCGCAAAATCTCGTCTCTAAGTGACTACACTACAGAAAAATTGCATTAAGATCGGCATTAATTAATTAAATTTAGCGACAGATAGGCGACATCCGTAAAAATGTTAAACATAAAATCTCATAATATGATACGAACTCTACACGAATAAAGTGTATAGAATTAATCGAGGAACGATTGTCCAATTGTATATTATTCAAATATTATTTGATCGTCGTATTACAGCGATCATTGTCATGCACAAGGATACAGAACGACTTTGTTAGTGTAGAGTTCGAATGTAAAATAAAACGAGATGAGTTAGATAATAGGATCGAGTACATACGCTCGCTCAACAGGAAGCTCTGTCTCTTTGAACCTGCAACCCAAGGATCACATACATCATATCGTCACATCCCAACATCCACTAGCGACGATAAAACACTTAAGTACAATAGATGATAGGTGATGCTTCTAAATTGCTTCTAACTTTGCATCAATATATGCAATATTATCGTACTAGATTAAAACTTTGCAAATATTGTACAACGACTAACATTTTACTCTCTTGCACGTATTAATATTATTATCATAAAATTATAACGCTATCTACGATAGCATAGGTAGAAGCATCATCTCGTCGATCATCTGGGCGATAGAATGCAAGTGAAATAGTGTGATATGAAGAAAAAAACTAATAAACATCATCGTTATCAAAAGACTACGAAATTGATCAAGGTACATAAAAGCACGAAGATGAATCATGGATTGTTTGCGTACAGTTGTAGGACTATAGTAGTAAATTCCAATTGTAGGCAACGAAGAGATCGTTCATCTTAATTTAGTTGCAAAATTGTAAAGTCAAGTTTGTCAAACACGTGTCATAATTAGTATGCATTGATATGCAACGTGTTAATCATTTGAATACCCGTCTAGGTAGATAACATAGTATCTTGCCGCGATAAGCAATCCCGGCGCCACCGACAAGAATCTCCTGTGTTATCCACCAGGTTCATCGAGTAATCTACCAAAGTTCCAACCAGTTCCAACCGTAGTGAAACTTTGCAAGAGGCACCTGCATTATCGATACGCGTTCCCTTCGTTGCCGCAAAAATGTCCTCACAACCTCCAACGATACTACAGATTGGCACCAAATGATTACCAGCTCGTTTCTCTTGCCATAAATTCAGATACGATAAATATTAGAGCAAGAGAGAATTGTGTATCACATGATTCATATATTTTTTTTTAATAACCAAAATTTCAGGCGCGAAAATGTAAAACAGGAACGTGCCGTAATGTGTGCATGCATATTAGAAATTTTATATAAAACATATGTGTATATTACAATGTAATTTTGAATTTTAAGCAAAACAATTCTTAAAAATCAATAGTCCAAATTGCAATTTAAATGAATAAATAAGGCAGAATGGTTCTTTGTACACGAAACATTATATTAATTTGCCACGTTTTCATAATCGTGTGAACGCTGCTTCGACGTTTATGATTTTGTATTTTTAACGAGACGGGTTTTAAATTAAATTCTGAGATTTGTACATATTTTCATGTATCGTTTACATAAAAAAATAAGTTGTGGAGAAACTTGTTTAGTAAAATAGTTCTCATGTAAATATCGATTTATTATTTAGTACGACTTCTAGAGCAAAGTATAGTTGAGTATCCAACAGAAAAGCTCACGAATAAAATATCGCTAGATCGAAGATAAAAGAAAAATATAAATCATAAAACGATTAATGCGTTCACTTATAAACGTGCATTCAAGTGCAACGTGAGAAATGTCATTATAAGATCACACGCCTAATAAATAATTAAATAACCGAGACGTGTCATCATAAATCACGTGTGACTTTCGACTCTTCCCAGTCTCGATATATTCACTGTAATACCAATAAATCCTCCTTTACGCGCGCGGTCAAATGGGTATTACGATTTTTTCGCCCGAGCAACGTCGAAGCAGCCTTCCTTCGATACGCGTTGTCTTGGCGTTATTCACATATAAGCCCGATCGATTTAGGGATAATCGATTTATAACGCCGTAACGCGGTATTTCGCGCGCGCGAAGAGATGGGTATATCCATTGAAAAATAAGGCTGCTCACCTCTCGCTGGCGATGGAACTGTTTCGAGACATCGACTTCGGCGACATCTCGAAGTCGCTGTCGCTTCGGTACAGGAAGCTTTCCCTTCTCTGGGGCAGTGTCTGAAGAACGAGTCCCGCGCTCGGCGAGGCACCGCCACCGCCGCCGGCGCCGCCGTCCAATGTCGAGGCGCCATTTTCCACGTCGAAACTGTAATGAGAAATGTAAACCCTCATTAGAGAAGCGAGCTGAACATTTTTCACCCCGTAAAACTCGCGCGGCGCGCAAAATTGTCTTTCCAATACCCGGGGGATGAACAACTTTGCGCGACTCTTTTTTTCCTTTATTTTATATCAGCGAGAGAGACACGGTTGAGATTCACATAAACCCTAATGAATTTTTCTTCACCTCGACAGGTTCTGATACGATAAAACGGGTTTATGAATCGTACCGTGTCGTCACCTTAGATCATCGCATGGGGACACAAAATGTGGCCTTCGTTTCATAATCGCGTAGGATGAAGAGTATGACTATAATATAATATTGCTTCGATATTTTGAACATGATGAATGGAGCACGCGCGCATTGAAATATATTGATAGCAAGTCCGGACAACTTGATGAATTTCTATAATCTATAAATGTGTAAAATGTGTATCATGTGCTTGGCACTCTGTATAAAGTAATAAATAAAATTAATTAGCTTTTCTTCGAAACGTGTTTTTCTGGTACGAGAAAATATATTTATAAAACGCATTTATTTCATTGTTTCAATTAATATCTTGTCTCTTAAATTTTTTAATCAACTGTATTATTGACTTATATGCATTTCTCACTGCAAATAATGACTGAGATTAACTTCATGTCCAACTTTCGTTGGGATTCAATGAAAACAGCTATTCGATGTTTTCAATTCAACACATGTAGGCTCGTACGCGAACCAAAATAGATGCATTGGAAGTTGAGAAACATAAGTGGAATAACGCTTTTACAAAAATAAATATCTCTGAGATAGCCTACACGAACGCGGCCCATTTCGCAATAAAGCAGCGTGAAAAGAATGCACTATTTTTCAACGTCCTGGAAACGGTACATATGTTGTACCTATGTTCCGTGAAACAATTCGATATATCTCGAACTTTAATTGAATTTCGGACACCAACTCAAAAAAAAAAAAACTAATACTATACGCCTTAAATAATGGAATCAAACTTCGCCATATGTACTTATTTTTATATTGATTTTAAAATAAATTAATTACATTAATATAAAAATAATTTTTTAAGTATTATACAGTATATTACAGTATTTAAGATCCAAGATTCAAATCGAAAAGAAATTAATTATGCGGAATATCGCAGTCGCCGGATATGATCAACATGTTGCAGATAGAAAAAAATTGTCGACAGGGCTAAATCTAGATAAAGCGCAAAATGCGTGGTAAAATCTTCCTCGTTATACTAACGAGGGCAAGCATCTCCTTACCAGCCAAGAGACGTTGAGTTGTATCCTTTTTGGCTCACGTTACGTCATAAATACATCTAATTAAGGCACGAGAGAATTATTAACTGGAGCGGAAAATTTCATTACTTCAAAATTTTCTTCTGTACACTTATTTTTTTCATATATTATACACATGTAAACCGACTTTAGCACTATTTTCGAAAGAACTTAATATTTCTCACGTTCAATTGATAACCGTTAAGTAGTACAATCTTCATTCATTTCTATATAGATCATGAAATATAATATTTGATAATTTAAAAGGCAAACTTTAAATAAATAGAAAAAAAGAACGAAAGTTATATGAAAAAAGACATGTGTATCATATTAGATATTCATAGTAGACGTAAATTCAATTTTTCTTAAGAGAAAATAATCGACTCGATCAAACTCTTGAAAAGTGAACACAACTTAAACGAAAATAAAATAGCTCTGGTATTTATTTTAACGTGCGCCATTGTATTTATGATAATGTCGTAAAAAAAATTGCATATTTTGAAGGAATCTATAAAGTCGGAAGCAAGTAGTTACCGTGGTCACGGTAGTCCGCCTGCAATAATGCTTCCGTCATTTAATTAAATTTTTTTCGTTTACTTTGTGAGAGAATATTGTAAGCGCGTCTATATATCCGCGACGTTTTCTCATCCACGATAACAATATTACGTCGTATTATGTAAACTATGATTAATCTCGTAACCTTGCCATTCAGTGAGTAATTGCCCGACATTGTTGATGATAGCGGTCGCGGTTGCGGCTCGCGCAAGCTGATTATGAATGCAATTGATAAAAAAAATGTATCGCAGAGCAACCGCTCGCGTATTTACGATTTACAAAAGCGATTTCCGAATACGAAAATATTTGTTTCTCCAGCTTGAGGCACGCGACGGGACGAGGCGCGTTTTGTTTGTACGTGATAGGACCAAGCCTAGACAGCTAATATTTGTTGCAGCTGAAATATAAATGTCATTAATAGTTGCTTCCGCAATTCCTAGGCCGCGCCTATTTGCTAGGAAATCTCCGAGACGTGCTTCACTAAACTATGTTTTTTATATATATATATATATATATATATATATTTTTTCCTGCAACGAATTTTTATATATGTATATAATATGTATATATACATGCAAAATATCGTTACAAGCTTGAGCTTGAAATATACGATGTCAGAGATTGACAGCGAATTTTAACGATCACACGTGAACGTTCGACGTAATTTAATACAAGATAAGAGCTCTTAAAAAACTAAACAATTGATTGGTTTAATTTGCAAAAATGGCAACTGACATTATTGCACAATCCTTTTTTGCCAGTTTGGGGTTTGCAAAAAATTCGTTGCAGGAAAAATTATTGTTATTCCTACCTAAAAGCTGTTCCGTTGTTTATTGAAAAACCGTGTTTGCAAGGAAGCATGCGTCCATCGATTGACGAATTTGCACGCATTTGATAGATGTCATATACATGAACCAATTCACCAAGCGGGCTATCATTAATCTCCAAACGTATAAAAACGAGTATATATTTATTGTATCTCGGTAAATATATTTTTTTGATTTTTTATTATATACAGATCTCTATATCATAATTGATTGATCAAAATAGAGTGCAGTTAAATAAGAGTATAATTATAAATCCGCAATTTATTTTCCATTTATCAATTGACAGCTGATATGATTAAAATTAATTAAATCGTCCGATGCATTTACAAATATCTGGGAAGAAGCAACTGAAACTAAGATCTAACGCTAAAGGAATTGCATAGTTGAATTGAACTGTTTCGATTGACAGTCAAAACCGGCTACGAGTCTGTATCGATTACGTCTTGTTACACCTCGACGAACGCATCTCTCATTAATCACGTGTATTGACTAATGATTAATCATGCATCTCGAAGTGCAATTTAGCGACTGTAATAGTGTTATTGATTGTTTACCGAAATTCCTAATTGGCACCGCATACCGCTTAATTCATATCGCTCCACCTGCACCAATTGTACGTTACGTGCACGAGTGCATCGTTCATATAAATGCATTCCAGTAATTGTATACATGCATACACGTGCGCGCTTCTTCTTCGGATCATCCGCCTAGTCCGTGATAGTCGACGGTCTAGTTATCGATTGCGGAATGCAAGTTCATTTCCTGTCGTGTTCACGGTTGAAAAGTAACAATAAATGATGAATTTCCCGTCGCGGTTTAATAATGCCGCGCATTTTTCATTGGCCGGTAGATAATATCGAGAAACATAAATTAACGCTCCCCGAAAACTGTCTGCATTTCATTCAGAAAAATGCATACATAAGAACATAGAAAAATTACGTCTAATAAACTTTTATTAGAGTAAAAGTTGTTTAGCCACTTAATTTGCGTACATAAATATTTCTTAATAATAAATATATGTAACATATATATGTACACATACACACAATGAAAATTCGTTTTATGATAGCTAGTAAATGCTAGGTGTTCGTTCTATCGCATGAATGCATTAAAGTAATTGCATTGAGGTAATGTATGCTTTTATGGCATCCGCGTATAACCGTGATTGCTGGATTATCAGCCGTTGTCAATTATCCTCATTTCCTAATGAATCTTTCCTTTCGCGTCAGACAAAACGCTTTGACATGTAAAACATCTTTGGCACACCGATGCAATTATTATTTCAAATAATAAATTTGTTTATATGCCACACAGAGAAAATTTTCTCTTATAGCGAATTCGATTGGATGCACTAATACGCACTGAGTGCACATATAAAGATTTATCACACACAAGTTCACAATGACACACAAATAATTAAAAAGAAAAATAATTAATAGTAAGAGCCCAGTAAGCAAGAAATATTTAATCAACATTTTATAATTGATTTTATATAAATTTTCTAAACGTTATGATATAATGTTTTATATATATATATATATATATATATATATATATATATAAATATATGTTTAAAATATTATTAATAAATATTCTAAAAAAATATTTTAACTGATGTTTTATAAATGTTTTAAAAATATTATTTAATAACACACATATATATTGCTCAAAATATTAATAAAATATTTTAAAAACGTTAATTTCAACATTACCGAAACCTCTAAATCGATGTCAAAGTTTGTTCATAATGATGTTGCATACAATGTTAAAAACTATATACTTGCCAACAAAAATAACGTTGTAGCAATGATTTTTTGCTTACTGGGAACTATTATTATTGTTTTCAATATGAATAATAATAATAATAATAGCTCTGACTGTTAATTATTTTAATTTTTCAATTACTTATGTCATTGTAAAATTGTTTGCAATTATCTTTATGTGCATTCAGTGCGCACTAGTGCATCCAATCGAATTTGCTATTAGAATTTACCCTGAAAATCATGGTAATCGTGGGACAATATGGGTATTGGAAGAGTTTTTCTGATTAATATTTACCACAATAAAAATATCAATATCTACCACAATAAGATATAAAATATACTCGATTAATTTTACTATGTACATAGTAAAATTTACTGTGCACCTATTAATATTTTTTATTGTGGTAAATATTAATCGGAGAAACTCTTATAAAATTCTTCCAACACCATATTATCCTACGATTACCATGATTTTCAGGGTAAAATTGAAGGGAAAATTCTCTTCGTGCAGATTTCGTTATCTTTACTCCGCGAGAGTCGCAAATTAGAATGAACAATAATAACAA